CATAGCTGCACTGTACACAGTATTAGCAATATCCTGCTATCTGGTGTAAATTTAAGAAATGCTTAATAATGTATTGTTAATGTACATTAATGTGCACATAATTTATTGCACTAAATTATGCTTAATATAATTACCCAGGTAATTAGAAGTGCAGGATGAAATCCTCCCGTGTTCTCTTCCTCAGCCTTTCCCCTAAGATAGCATTAACTACACGTCTGTTGTTTTGCAGTGGATGTTCCCTGTCATAAACACATACCTAAAAGAAAGTCTCTTTGCTGAGCGTCACTGATGCCCATTTGTCCCCGGGATGGACTGGCAGCAAGAGCTAAGTGGGCCACCGAAACAACATAAGAGGAGAATGTTAGTAAAGGATCCAGGATAAAACTTCAGCCTACCACAATCCTAACATCCATCCAGAGAAAACAGGACCTTCCAGGGTTACATTAGCATCTTACCCAGCTGCCAAAGGGCTGAAAGCACACTGATGCGATGTTTGAAAGATTTAGCAAGAGAGCCCACCTTTCCTCCCAGTTTGTGTTGGCTGGCCCCATACAAGACATTCAATAGTGTGGGCGAGAGTGTCGTGAGGAGCCAGCCAACACAAACCGGGAGAGAAGGTGGACTGTCACCTTTTGTCATGGTCTCCAGGCACTACAAGAGGCTACGCAAAGAGAAGAGAGGTTAAAAGCACCAGCAACTTCACCTTTTATTGCTGCACCACAAGGCAGGCTTGTTTTCTTCCTAATGCTGGATCATACAGACATGGTAGAGGACAGACAGACAGACGCCTTCTACGTGAAAAGGCAAAACCTTTTCTTGTGAAATCCTGGTGCTTTGCTGTTTATTGGCAACCAAAAGCATGAGCCCAGCCCCAGCCAAAGACAAGTTTCAAATAAACAAAGACTAAATATTGGAAGTCATTGGTGTCCGTGGTTCTCGCTTAGAACAAAAGGAAGGAAGTTGAATATAAACAGTCAGAGGAACAGCAGCACATGGCAAGGCTCAGAGATGGAAAACTGCTCTGTAAGAGTGAGCTGTGAATACGCTGGTGTAAACACTTCCCAAAAGGAAGAGGAGACTTTGGTGGAACCTCACGGTCCCTTTGTGGGTCTTGCACCTCAACAGCGATTTATTTATTTTAACGTTTGACAGTCTTCGAGAGCCCTGCTGAAACGCATCTCTCTTTCTCTGGAGGTAACAACTCTGGGCTTTCCTGGGTTCACACATTTAACAGGAGCAAGCAGCCCATACCCTTTGATAACTTTCTGGGCACATTGCAAAGATCATCTGTTTGAGGGGCTTTGCAGAAAGCTTCTTCTCCCCTGCGATGAAGAGGAGCTGGAAAGGAGCTCATGCAGGCATCAGCTGGCTGGACACCAGCTGAAGCAATCACCTCCACGCTGCTAGATGACACGCTGTGTCATCGGCAAAGCCTTGGCAAGGAAAACTTTTTTTTTAAGTCGCAGTAAATAACTCTCATAAAACAGACAGTACAGCAGCAATCCAACTAAAACATAGCTTCAGGTGCTCACATTTTACGGTTTGAGGTGGGGCTGGCAAGGGCTGCCCCTCCCCACCTGCTCTTTCGGTTAGGCAGCACCCAGCGAGACAGAAAATGAAAAGCAAATCCTGAACACACAAAATCCCTTCCCACAACAGCATCAAAGGGGGACAGATCTCTAAATCACAACAAGCAAATAGGAAAGAAAATCAACACCTCAGGGCATGGAGGTAGGAGAAAAGACTTCAGAAGGAAGGGCGAGAGCAGAACCAACTGCCAAGGATGACTTCATTACAGCAGCTCTCCTCCCTCCCCTGAGCAGCCCGGCATGGCAGAGACACACACTTGAACGTGGAGTTTCAGCTAAGACAAACCTACTCAAGCCAGGAGACACCCATGCTTAAAAAGGTGGTAAGCAGAGAGAAGCCCCGTGGTTTTCAAGGAGCGTGGGCCTGTAATTCTCAGACTAAGGAATAATGAAAGTGGGACCAGTTTTACTCTCCTGGGTACAGCTAGTCTCCCCTTGGGAAGAGAGGCAAGAATTAATATCTACCGCTTTTAGGAGTCAGAAGTGCAGCCTGAGCAATCACTATTGCAGCAGCAGCATAAAGAACTTTTTAGCTGTGTAAGCTGTGAGTTTGCGTTAGTGCAGCTCGGACACAGCTTGCAGTTGTTAGGGACTATTTAAAACACAAGCAATTAAACACTCAGCAGGTCCCTCCAGCCCTCCTGCACTCAGCAGCCGTCACACAGCCCTGGTATGATCACAGCCATACAGATTTCTAACAAGCAAACTAATCAAACCTCCTGTTTGAGGGCTTCAGGCCATGGCTTCCTGGGTCAGGAAAGGATCCTTTTCCCTCAGGATTTTGCTCTTGCACACCTGAAGCTCCCTCCACCTTTCTCTGGTGCACTGACTGACCACAGCCAAGTGCAAGCCACCAACCTGTACGATCACGTTCTCAGAGGTAGGAAAGAGGCTTTTTCCTAGAACTGTAGTTTCCAACTTGTGTATCCGTCTATTACTTCCGATAGCAACACGCAAGATAAACAAGAGCAGCAAGCTCTTGTACTGCCTGCAAGTTTGTTATACAATGGTTGGCAGCTTTTTGGAAAGGAGAGAGGGGAAAAAAAAACCCAACCAAAAAGTCACGCATGTTTCAAGTTGCTTTCTCCACTGCAGATAGCAAACACTCAGTCATGAGAGCTCAAGAGTTAGCTGCCAGAGTGCAGCCCAGTTCACCCAGGTCTCTTGCAGAAGCCTGTTGCTGCAGGAGTTTGAAAACTGCTGCTCCAGGTGTCTCAC